TAAATCGACGGAGGGGTAAAAAGAATAGAGAAGACGACTTAGGAACCCTAACCAATTCGATGGGCCAGCAAATGTTTAGGATAAGAAATCAAAGCCCATGAACGAAAACAAAAATTAGTGGCCCAAAAAATAGGAGGGACACGTGTATTTATTTGCCCCCAAGTAGAGAGAAAAGGCAACTTTATTATTATAGATTTTAGAGTTTATAAGCTTTTAAACGTGTATCAAGCTATTTGAATATTAATTTAAAAGGAGATTGTTATATATTATAATACTTCTTTTTTTTTTTAATATATAATACTTCTAAAAGTACTTTTACAAAAAGTTGATAAAATACGGAGGGAATAAAAATATTCTTAGAAGTTTCCACTTTGACAGTTTTCTTTGTCCTGATTGAATTGAATCTCAAAAGTGAAATGAATTCTAAGCTACAGTATACCAAACGAGAGAAAGAAAAACTTACCACATACAAGGCCAAGCAAGCAACCAAGTTCCAATGGGTTTATCCAGTCGAGCAAGTTTAGCGTAACCTCTAGCTTCTTCTGGCAAATACAAATCTATCCAAGAAGCTTCCTCCACAACAACACTACTCTTCTCTTTGTCATCCTTCTTAGGATGTACCTCCATAACCAATGACGAAGACATTCCAGCAACATATCTGTAGTTCTCCGGATGCAGTTCAGTTCCTTTACTCCATACTTCGTATTTATGATCCCTTAGAGGATGCTTAGGCAAAGGATTGATGTAATGTGTAGTAACAGATGATTGTAATAACCCTCGTGAAACACCGGATATCCCTAGAAACGCCATCTTTGAGAAAAAGTTTTGCCTCCAAGAAAAAAAAAGACAAGAGATTCAAACAGCTAACAGTAGAAAAAGTCAACGCTTCAAAAAGAAAAACACACTAGCTAAGTTCAGTGTAGAGTGAAAGCTAACTTCTCAAGAATCTACAATGTTCATGGCGATACTAATCACTCTTAGGTTCGTCAAGTAAGTTAAAAACAATCATATGAATCAAGAAAATCAAATGGCAAATCTCAAGAACTTAGTTTATCTTGGTTAGAGATAATCGACAATGTCTTGAACACTCAAAGGCAGGACAAAAAAAAGAAATAAAACTAGATTCAACACTAACTCAGCAGACTAATATATAGGAGGAAGAAGAAGAAGAAGAAGAATGAGAGTGTAGAGCTTACCGGCTTACAACGACTCCGGTGTGAAAACCACCTCGGAGTTAGACTTGTTCAGTGACTCAGATGGGCCACCCTTGGGCCCATTCGGATTTTACTGATCTGATAAATGGGCTAGCCGAAGCTTGGGGGGGGGGGGGGGGGGGCTACTGAAGAAACACGTTTAGAATTCTTCTTCTTTATTTCATCTTTTTAATTAATAAAGTACTATTTGCACCCATAAATCAATGACGTACATTATTCTTTAGAATCATGACATCGAAATCGATGATGACCACAACAACATATCAAAGCATCTAACAAAAGCCAAGAAATTCCATAGAGTTGAGTGTAATATGAACAAAGAGGATTTGAGTGTAATGAAAAAGAGTTTGTTTTTTACTGAAACTTCATAAATTCCTTTCTTGTGCTAAGCTATTACAAGAGTTCGATATATATACACAAAGTGTAGATAGAACAGCCCTAGACAGATGGATTAATCATGAGCGTTCTGTAGATCAAAGGCTGAGAATCTGTTTGCCAGCTTCAAGCCATTAACTCCTTCTGCACAAGCTCTCATCATACTCTGCTTTTGTACTTCGCTTTCGCTGCTCTTATATTCATCTCCGAGACACGAACGTTGCAAGGTTGATTCAAACTTGGGACCACTTAAGTTGGGTTGTTTATCTAGGTTTGTGATCTCTCATCAATATATAACTCCACGTACAAGAACCCATTTATAAATTTATTATATTAGAAACACCTTAATAAGTAAAATGAGAGTGATCTTGCCAACATCATGTTGCTGACGGAGATGTTGATGATGGTGCTAATGATCAAGCCTTGAGCAGTATTTTTTTCAAACATTTTTTTTTTACTTTTTTTTTTCTGAAACACTTTTTATGATCAAATTAATATCCAAATATGAAAATAACCTAACTATAACCATTTTTTTTAAATGACCAAAATAACATCTAAAGATGAAAAAAAAAAATTCTTTTATTTTTGTTCTTTTTTTTTGAAACACTGTTTTTATGACCAAAATGACATCCAAATGAAAATAATCTAATTAGCACCATTTTTTTAAATGACCAAAAAGACAACCAAAGATGGAAAAGAAATCGGACAAAAAAAAGATGGAAAAGAAACAAAATTTCTTTTGTTTTTGTTCTTTTTTTTTTTTTTTTTTTTTTCTGAAACACTGTTTTATAACTAAAATGACACCTAAATATGAAAATGACCTAACTGACACCAATTTTTCTTTTGAAAATGATCAGACACCCAAAGATAGAAAAGAAAAAAAAAACTTGTTCTTTGTTTTTCTCTAAAACATTGTTTTTATGACCAAAATAACACCCAAATATGAAAATGACTTAACTAACATCATATTTTTGGATGACCAAAATGACATCCAAAGATGAAAAAGAAAAAATCTATGTTTTATTTTCGAATCTATGTTTAAATGTTTTTCTTTATGTTTTATTTAATAAATAAATTATATCTTTAAAAAATAATTTTTATTTTTTTTTAAGAACCCCAAAATAAGAGTCTTCCATTGTAGCACAAAAACATTCGGAATGTTTAGTGTTGTATCTTAAATCACTTTTACAACTTAAAATTATTAAAAAATACTAAACATTCCTAATTGGGGTTTTGGATTGATGGTGCTCTTAGTCATTCTTCTTATTTTCATTTTTAATTTATAAAGTACTATATGCACCCAAATATCAATAAGGTGTATTATTCTTTAGAATCATGACATCGAAATCGATGATGACCACAACAACATATCAAAGCATCTTACAAAAGCCAAGAAATTACATAGAGTTGAAACTGAACCCATTTATTATATTGGAAAAACACCTTAATAAGTAAATTAAATGAGATAGTTTAGAAGGTGATGGATAAATCAAATGAGATAGTTTAGATGGTGATGGAGATGATGGTGCTAATGATCAAGCCTTGCTGGCGTGGTGGCCCATGTCAACGATCAAGCTCTTGTTGAATTTCATGTAGGTGCTTGGTTCAGGGAACTCATCCTTACGCTTCTCCCATATTATAGTGATTTTGCAGGCGCTCGTATCCTCAGTTTTGGGGATAAATTGGTAGATGACATCAAACACCTTGAGCTGCTCCATCACGTGACCCTCAAGTCCTCTTAAAATCAATGTCAAGTTCTCGTCATCGATCTCTCTCTTCTCCTTGAACACCTCTTCCTTCCCATCTTTAGAGACATAAAGTCATTTTTATTCATTAATTAATTTTTCAACATGTGAATTGTAATACTGCATACTACTCATATATATAAGGATATAGTATGTGTTATTATATGAAATTTCAGCAGGTTAATGTTCCAGTCTGTGAATCGATAGTGAATCAAACCATAGAGAGAGCTGAATTCAAAGCTGCGTTCTTTTACTAGACTAACCAATCTAAATGGCTTTCAATATATGATGACTAGCTTTAATTTATTTTTGCGTTTGTTTTTACTTTCTTGTTTAATGTGACCGAATCCATAATGCAAATTCTTCAGCTAAATATAAACGCAAGGCTAGCATGTATTTCTGTTTACAGTTTCAAAATTATTATACTAAAAATGAAAAAAAAATTAGGAAAATAATATTTTGACGCTAACGCTATCATGTACAGTTTCAAAAATATTACAGTATAAAAATGAAAAGTGTGTGTTTCAAGTACTTGACAATATTTACTAAAAAAAATATTACATGGCAATAAACTACGCAAAACCCTAGTTTCACATATGCACTATATTTAAACTCAATAGGTGTATCTATACGTAAAGTGTTAACTATATATACATATACAGTATATATATATATATAGAGAGAGAAAGTATAAGCAATTGTATACCCCATGTGTAGTTCCAACTCCTGATGGATCCGTGAGAGTCAGATTCTCCCTCGTGAACGGTGACCTTTTTGATGTGGTGGCCAATGGCGTCAGGGAAGATATGGTTCTCGCTCTTCCACTTCTTGTAGTGTTTCTCCGCCGCTCCTTTTAACGGAACCTCCGTCACGTATGTTCCCGATGTCGCCATTTCTTTATCTAAAGCTTTCACTTTTGTTTTTTTTGCTTTGTTTTGGTTGATGAAATATCACAAGCTGTCGCCTTCGTTTATATAGTAAATGTGACGGTTAAAAAACATGTTTCTACCGTTTCCCCCACTTTATTTGATACTAGCATGCATACTAGAACTTTCTCTCTTCATTTCCAAACCTACAATATTTAATGAGCATAATGGGTCATCGAAATGTGTGTGTTTTAAATTGTTTAAGTGATCTTCGACCACGTTATTAATGCAGGTAGTTGGCCATATCATCCTTTAGAGCTAATTCCAGTTTCTATAGAAAACAATTGTATGTAAGATCAAGTTTGATCATATTCCTGGCATGGCGATGCATTAAATAGTTATTGTAATGGTTGGTCGCCGGACTGCATTATGATTCGTATACTCTACCAAATAAATCAACCAATTTTCGTTTGGTGGTATTATTTTTTATTTATGTTATATCGGTATGGACATTCGTCATTGTTGAGATATATAACTGCATCCAATCGGATGACGACACTGAATACGAGCTTTGTGAACAATCTAATGATATGAAAAAAACAAAGAACAAATGCAGGAGTGGTTATCGAAATAGAAGAGAGAATGGGATTAACATCGACTTAATATGTTTTACCATTATTTTAACGATCTCTTAATTAATTTATCGGATATATTTTATTGGAATGGAGATTAGTAACAAAGGGTTATAATTGTCACTAGCTAGGTTATCACTACTTGGTTATAAAAACAAAGTTGTTATTGTCTAGATACTATATGTAAAAGAAATCATTTTCATGTGAATATTTTAGACATTTTGATCAAATTAAACTAGCAAGTAGCAACCATATTCACATGACTACTAAACCACCATGCAAAACTAATCAATATTTCATTCGATTGTTAAGCTTTCACGCATCTTGAAACATATGATTTATGTTCTATATGCTTTTCTTGAATGGATATTAATCAATCTAAACTACAAGACTTTCACGTCCGGTTTCTAATCTAAAAACTAATAAATATTTATTTAGATCTTTAAAGGAAGTCAATTTGTACGGAGGGAGACGCTGATCTCGCAGATCGGAGATCCAGCTGCTAAAGAGACGAGGCATCTCCAGCGTCTTCCTGTTCGGTTTGGTTCGTTTGGTGTAGGGTCTCCAAGGCCTCGTCTTGTTTGTCTCTGGAGCTACTTCGGCGTCTGGAGTGGATACCACCGGAATGTGGCTGGACCGGGACCTAGTCAACCCCGCTTCGCCTTTAATCCTTTGGGTTTCGCCTTCGGGATAATCTTCGGCCCCTAAGATTATTCTC